AACATAGTAGGAGATCTATTCTCTGCAGTCTAGTCTCAGATATGTCCAACATGCTGTCTTTAAACCGCTAATAGTCACAGAAGGTCTTTCATATTGACCTCAGCAAGGTCACCCCCGCTCTTACTGAATGATATATTCTCTCCTCTGCATTCTGTCCCAACATTTCTTCTTATTTTAAACTTTGCCCCTCCTACACAACTTCGCTTTCCCTTTGCTCTAAAATAACAACAGCTCTGAGGGGTTTAACGCACCCAGGTCAAGTTCAAAGTCACACCCAACAAAGTGGAGCAAAGTGCTTCTCAAACAACAGTAGGGTCAAAGATGCACTAATCCCAGCTATCTGTGAGCCAGATAATACATGTGCATGTATGCAAACACAGAAGTCATCTGTGCTGATCCAGCATCGACAGGCACACAGTATAAAGTCACGCTGCGTTTGACACGCCCCTCTCTCTGAAAATACAATATACCACATTTCTGACAGGTCGTAAGAGGTCTGTCAAAGTCCAGATGTTAACGTTAAAAAGGGTTGTTTATACACCTAACTGCCATCATGTTATAAAAGCAGCTTAAAATGGGGACCATGAATGGAAAACTGAGTGAAATAGGAATGGCAGCCGTCCTGGCTTTCTGATGTGGTAATAAGTGGACCTTGAATCTGAAAATGGAATTCTGCAAGTTCAAACATAGATGAAGACGGATCAAGCTTATTACAAACATTCCAGCGTGTCTTAAGAGTGAAAATGCAAACTAAAACAAGTATGTCCAGGTCGCTTTTATTAACAATAATGGCATTTTCTTATGAACTCAGGAAATGCAGTGACCTGGTAACCAGAAATCCCACAGTGTGTGTGGTTTATTTAAAGGAGCACGCCCTGAGTATAATTATGTCATGACAAAACAGGTTAAAGCAGGTAACCTCAGAAACAATAGATAGAGATTTTTAGAGGAACTTAGAGGTTGAATTGCATTGACTGCATAAATGAAGGATTTTATTGCACTGCAGACCTGCGTCCGATGCACTCACAGCGCATTCCTACCAATTCAAGCTTCAATCCTGCAAACACAAGTCAATGCATTTCCTTAGAGTGAGAGACAGTAGAGGGACAATATGTTTGAAGAGAACCCCCCGTAAAACCTGTGCCGACACTGAGGCTATTTGACGTTGATTGAGAGCAGGTCAAACACTGCTCTTTATATGACAATATGATACATCACTGCATGTTTTAACCACATTTGTCATTGTTTTTTCTCAAAACAATGAAATTGTGTAGTCCAGAGAATCAAGTTTTTTACACATCCATTGTCACCGCAATGAACGTTCCATTGAATCTTTTCTGTCATATTTGTGTGCATCCATGTGTATGTATGTATATGAGTGTGTGTGTGTGTGTGCGCGCTCCCATTGGGACGTGACATTAAATAGTTTATGATGAAACCTTAGGATGCTGGCCACATTCAGATCAAATGTAACAAATCTTTACTTCATTATTATTTTTGGTAGAAGAACAAACACGGGAAGTTTCTGACCTCGACTGCGATGCAGATGATGGCCATATTGCTCAAGATGTGTAATATTGTTGAATTCCATCTTAATCCTAAACTTCCCTTCCTGCTGTCATGCTGCATTAGTGCATCTGGCTGGGGGAAGCTGCAAGCTGTTACTAATTGATCTCTGCCATTTATTTTCCAATTTATCCTGAAGGACATTTGTTACACTCATTTTTTTTTTTTTTTTTTTACATTCAAAAGTTACTTCGGGGCAGGAAGTGGAAAGTCTGAGGGAATCACCAAGGAAACGTGATGATGACGGGCTATTAACCCGGTCCTTACAGATAATGACCGGGTCCTCCTGAGTTTCAGCCTCCTTCTCGCAACTCGTTGTGCTTAAGTGCCGTTTGGGGTAGCGAGGGGTGTGACGGCGCATTGTTTTTCTTTTGTTGTTTATGCACGAGTGAAACCAAAACACCAGCAGTCAGCTGTGCCGTCTTCAGAGGGCATTCACTGTGTCATTTGCTAAAGCGGATCAAAGGCTGTGACAGTGAAAGAAAGCACCATTTGTGTGCTGAATGTCTACCCCCTTGTGGACAAAAGGCATATAGGCAATCTGGTGCAGGATAATATGGTGAAGACATTGAAAGCCATTTATTTAAAAGCTAAATCCCATTTGATGTTGAATAAATGGCAAATATAAATAGCCATGGAGGCAAAGGTGCAGTTGGTTCGACATAGATGTGAATGGCAAAGTATGTTAATCTTCTCCCCTTTTTTTTGTGAACACGAGCGGTAAGGTTCGTTTTCATCAGCCCAAGATAAACCTGTGGTTTTGACCGTTCGTGCCAAGAAACATTGTAAAGCTGCAAAAGGCTGCCAAGTCCATCCCTAAGCAAGCGAAGCAGCAATGTGCAACGAACATGCTCACCCCACTTACACCGCTGTCAGCGCGATGCTCCATCTCAACGCTCTCACTCGCTCTTCCCAGTAGTCAAAGTGAGAGTGAGGTCGCCATTCAAAACTCCCCCTGAGAAACGGCGATAGGTGATCAAGGTCTTCTCGGAAATCAATCCTGGAGTCCAAAAAGGTCTTTTCAGGCGCACTGAAATAAAGTCCCATAGAAACAAGACTAGATATATGTACGTGTTGCGGTTTAAAGCGTATGTATGTGAGAGCTAAAGTGTGTGGATGCCTTAGATTTGGGTTTGTGTTCTTTTAAAAAAAACAGATGAACACTTTTCTTCAGTCAACAAGGTTACAACTACTATTGTAACTCACATTTCCAAACAGCTAATAATGAACACGAGGATCACAATGATTATAAGACGGTAAGAAAAGAAAAGTGTCGCACATACAAGCTGCTCTAACAGCCCAGTCTAATTCATGTAGAAAGAACTAAATGCACTAAATGGAGTATGATACATATAATAACAGCTGTAATTCTAACACCACGATGGCTTCAACACATTTTAGAACACTCTTGAGTGTCGAAATCCTGCTCTAATCAAACGCAGACAGATTTCAATCATTGACCAAATAAAAGCCCCGCTCTTAGAACTGATATGGAAGTGATGCCATTCATCTTGCAGACAGGGCAAATAATACCATAAACATTGTATTGGTCATTCTTAGAAGCTCGTGTCTATGTGAAATCCCTTTTGTTACGCATATTCATTCGTCATTTATTTATATGAGGGATAGTATTCAAATGGTGGTCACTCTAATTATCAGCATCGGAGACAAAGAAAATGTGGGTGTAGCTGCAATCACTCACACGAGCCCTACAGTCCATGTGCGTATTATCATGTAGCTGTATCTGTGTAATGATGGAACGCAAAACACATAAATAACAACAAGAACAATTGGCCTCAACGTCGGCAGTTTGCAGCCACCACACCAAGATCGGAAAGAAAAAGATCTAAACAGACACTCTTTCTTGGGAAGGTGCCAGGGCCTTTATTAAAACAGTATGTTTCACCAGCACTTTATATGGATGTTTTTGTTGGCCGTGGTAACGATTATTCTATTAACCCAGAGGTACAGCAGAGATAAATGCACCTTAGATCACTGCACGATCAGCAGTATTCAGTTGATCATCTCACAACAGCTCGGGCAGGTGCGGCCCTCTCATTCTCCTCACTGATACCCCTTTTCCACCAAGGCAGAACTGGTGCTAGTTCGGAGCCAGAACCTACTTTCAAATCGGTTCTTTGGTTTTCCACCACCAAAGCACCAGCTCCGAACCAGTAAAAGTGGTTCTTAAGTAGCACCATATCATTGCTGGTCTAGAAGTAAGAACCGCTTACGTCAGCGGCTGGGGGCGGGGTTACCGTGACCAACAAGACGAGAGAAACTTTGTGATCCGCCATTTTTCGATAGCAGCTAATCGAGCTAACAACAACACAATGGACGCTACTAGGCAAAAAGGCGAGCCGCGCGAACATGTTTGATCCGCCGTGTAGGCGTGTGTCGATGTAGGTCCGCAAAGCCATGAACATCAATAGCAAAGCAACGTCCGCCATTGTTGATGATGGGTTTGTGTTTGGCTCCGCCGCGCTAACGTTGCTGGGAAAGATGAGACGTAACTGTGACGTAGGACTTGGCTCTGCGCTGGCTCTTTAGCCTGTGGAAAAGCAAACCGGTTCTTTGGAGGCTCGTCAGTTGAACCAACTCCGAACCGGCTCTAGGTCTGGCTCCGAACCAGCACCTGGTTCTTGTTGGTGGAAAAGGGGTATGAATGGGCTTCACGCCGGAGCATGAAGGGACGAAGCGACTCCCCCACCACTAAAACACACACAAAGAATGCCGCCGGCTGTCAATCATTTTAACTGACCCGACCCTTTCGTATGCCACAAACTCTATCATCGACAGGCCTGTAGAGCCGGTTGCTTACCCCCGTCTAGACAGACTGGGGGACTGGCAGCCACGGGCATCCGAGTGGAGTAACGCACCCAGTTTAACCACAGATGAGAGCTCCACTCTCATTTAACACCGTGAATCAGCCCCTCGCCCGCAAACAGCCGGCTGGAGCCGAGGGCCGAGGTGTTGAGAAACCAATTTGAGGAGTAATCTGAAAGCAAGGTTTCAAAGCATGAGGAGCTGAGCGAAGGAATTCCCTTTGGATCAAACACATTAGGCCACCTCGGGCCAAACTGCGCTGTGCGATGCATCATTAGGATGAAGCTAAAGTATAGTCTTTTGGGATTCCCATGCCATGAGCGTTATTTCCAGCCAACCGGCTTCAAGGATAAAGTCAAACGGGGGGGGGGAGTTGTCTCGGAGCCGAAGTTGAGCTGAACGCTCTGAATCGCGCTCCCCATCAGCAAACATTGCACTGAGGTGGACAGAACTACATGTTCACACAGTTATTTGGGCAAATAAGAGAAGTTCTTGTTGTTGCGAGTGAAGCACTCTTCTTTCTGCAAAACAAATATTGCCCCCCCCTCCCCCCCCCCTTTTAACTCATCAAGCACTGACAGAGGCGCACAGTCCGCTGCCTCTGCTCAGTGTCTCTCCCGCCGAGACCTCAATCCCGCATGGCACCCGAAGACGCCTGGAAAACATTGCCACCACACGTTATTATCATATTAATTACCACAGCATATTTTTGCTCTACCGGATGTTAAGGAATGGCAAAATAAAGAATCAGAAAAATGAAGAAAAAAAAAAACAGTCCTGCCAGAAGAACGCAAAAGTCACAAGGCAGAAGAACAAATTCTAGAAACAACACTGGTTGCAACATTAAGCCTGAACGTCTGCACGAATACAGATTGAGCTGTGTGGGTGCTTTTCAAGAACATCAGACTTCTTATACCAAAAAGACGAGGGCAACTGTATATTTTGGAGTCCACAACTGTCGATAAAGGAACCGGAGTGTAATCATCTTCAGCACAGCCGTGACAAGTCCTCCAAACAGCGTGGCTGCTGTTGCTTTGATGTAAACCGACAGTGTCTGTCTCGTTCTGCAGCACTTTGACTGGAACCGCGGCCATATCACTGCAAGGAAGTGGAACTGTTATTGTTATGACCTCAAAGGCTTTGGGTGGTCCACGTTCGGTCACACACAGATATGAGGCGAGAGAGAGACGAGAGAAGGACACGCAAATGTAACAGTCCAAAACACTGGCAGAAGCTCTCTCTGAACATCTGCAGTGTCCCATCGCGCACATCGCTTCATTCACACACACACTTTTGTATACACGATCAATACCCGCAACAACGTTTCTCATGAAACAGAACAGCAAACAATTTACGTTTGAGACATCTACACTGGGAACTTATCCAGTGGTGGCCTGTTTTTGAGAGGGCGAGAACTGCGTTCGTCGTGGGGCTTTTACGGTTTCTGCTGTATTTTGTCAGTGGATGATGCGAGATGGTAGAGAACATGCTCAACATCGCCTTAAGCCCATCACCACTGCAGATCTGAGAAAACGCCAAGGTGCCGCTCTAAGCTGTTCAGTTTTTTGGTCATTTTTCTATTTAGGATCTCAGCTGCTATCAGCGCAATTGGTAACTGGTTAAGCGTGTGTGTGGTGACAACCCATCAGCGCCCAGCAGATAGAAACATCACCGTATCCACTTAGTCTTGTGAGGACACACGTCTCACACATGCAGACGGACTGAGAGAGAGAGACATGCTCATGTTGGGTGTATTGAACCAGGGGTCCCGTGCACACGCACCCAGACTTTTGCACATGGAGACAAATGGTGGCGATCAGTGGGTGGACGTCAGCCCCGAGACGGGAACCGCTCCATGCATTTATAACGCGGCCCATCAATCAGTGCTCACAATGGGGTAATGATACATTGAGAGAGGTGAAACTAGTCTGTCAAATTCAACACGCTAACAAAGCACAAATATACCAGATTGAACCAAAGTCTAGTGTGGCACTTTGCGGTACATTTGTTATAAATTACTCAAAAGGTGAACTATATTACCATATTTAAAAAGTATAAATGCAATGCAAATGTGGTCTGTGTGGAAAAGAATCACCAAGTAACGGCAAAGTATCCTTAATGTCATTCCGGTCATCTGTCACCCATTTATTTGTGTTTAACACACCATTAAAAAGGTACTTTGAGGGCTTTGTCTTATTTTGAAAACATTTCTGCAATTACTAACAGACTTCAATGAAGTCCAAATGCAGCAAAATTAACTTATGGAGGAAATGATTTTTTTTTCTTGCATTATATTCAACGGGGCACTATTGGTAATATCTCACACTCTGTAAACTGTGTGAGACAGATTTTAAGGCTCGGAGGAAGTAGATCCTCAAACTGATCTGTTCATCTTCTGCAGATTTCCTCCACATTAATTTAATCAATTATGTATTCAACTGCAATCTGCAGGCTATCACAGAAGAGAGACACACCCAACTGTTAGCAATTTAGAGATTCAGACTGATCGGCATACAAACAGCTCTTTGAGGGCTAATCATACAATTGGATTCTCCAGTCTAGTTAAATAAGAGTCAGTTTCTCATGACAGCGTCTAGATGATTGATTCCAAATATGTCAACGGTGTTTTTAAAGCATTTTTTCTGCTAAAAACAAGTAATATCACCTTTAAGTAGACAATCATCGGCCTATGTATCTAAACTATTTCACCACGTCACCTCCACTATACCACTGCCCCCCAGTGGCTGGACATGACCACCAGCGGTGAATACACCAGTGAGGGGGGTGAAACTGTCTCCCGATTGTTGTCACATTTTCAGGTGACTCGCCCTGAGCGAGGCTGTGGACATCAAATGCATCACTGGCGTTACAGCACATCGGCGGCGACAGATTCTCACGTGGTGTGGCAGTAAAGAGAAAGGGATGAGTAGGAAGAGAATAAGTATCACCATTATGCTAAATATTGTCGATTGTTAATTAGCAGTTGCAGACTATTGAACCACGCTTGATTTATACGTTCACATAATCACTTTGCTGAAGGGCTTTTGACTTCTTTACCAGAAGTACCACATGTAGCAATTTGTGCTGAAGCCACTGTTGAGCAACGGTGGAGAAGTGAATCATTAGGATCAATGGATTATGAGAAGTCTCTATGGACAAACGGTATTTGTATGTTTTGACACAATGGCCTACGAGTGGGATTAACAATGACGGACGTGAATCCCCTCTTCTTCTCTCTGCAGCCCTCCGGGCTCTGGCATTCAGTCAAATGGCTTTTCCAACATAATCTATGCTGATTACACTAAACTAATCCTCTCTTTTTTTCCCCAATGTGAAACACAGGTAGCAGCACAAATCTCTGCCTGGCTGACTGACGTCTCTCGGTGGATGTCTGCACGCCACCTGCAAATGAACCCTGACGAGAATGAACTACTTTCCCTTCCATGGGGACGGCTCTCGCACCCACGACCCATCACCTTTGAGAACTCCTGCACTGACACTCGATAGTCAACACATTTCCTTCAGCAAAGGACAGGCCCACACACGTATATATACACGTCTGCATGCAATACACGCCAAGTGCACATACATCACATGCAGCACGTAATAAGGATACATAAAGTGATACATGCAATACAAAATACAAATAATGAATAAAGCTTAAATAATTCTGCACTTACTGTTTGAGTTCCTGTCAGTTGTGTCTCTTACTTCAGTTGCTCGCCGCTGCTTGGTAAGACTTTTCTATAAGACACAATATTGGACAAAACGTTTTTATTAGACACACTCTGGATGAAGGAATTACTCACCACCGGCTCAGTTAAGATCTCAATAAGTCTGATTTGTTTAAAAAAAAAAAAGCTAGTAGAGCAAGTGGGTTGAGAAGCTGGGGTACCCACATGCCTCTGGATGAAAGACAAACACAACTAGAGGGAACAGAGTTTACTGGTACATCGTTACGAATGCGGAGATCACAACAAAATTCCTCCCAATTGACATGCTGCGGTAGGATAAAAAAATAAAATAAAATGTAGCATTGCAAACTCAATACAAATCAATCGAGCAAATGTTCCCAAAAAGGCCGGAGTGTGGACATGATTTCCGTGTTCAACGTCAATCCAAAAGCTACTTGTCAGATGGTTTTCTAATGACATGCGCGAAGTGTAAAAGCTGCCAATGACAACAGAGTGGCTCTCACTGTTTACTCTGAATCTGTGCCTGCGCCATCAACCTGGGGAAGGAACGGTGTTCTTAAGAAGGGCCCCAATCCTGCTTGTCATTCATTTACAGCTTGAGTTCTGATGAAAAAAATGATGTGATAACATGTGCCAGTATTTTAAAGCGCACCGAAACAGTCAACTACTTCAGGAATCAGATTTACTGAATAGAAGACAGCGGGATTATGAGATTTGGAAACCAGTAAGGAAGGCATTGACACAGCTGCTTGTGAGAGCCTGCGAGGACCTTTGAATCGGATTGGTTTGAGGAACATAAAATGTATCACCCCTGAATGCAGCCAAGAGGGATATATATTCATGGAATTGCTGACAACGACTTCTGTTGCGGAACAACTCCATTCCAACAGGGCTCAGCCCAGCTGGATACGGACAATCTGAGATTTATCTCTGATTAAGTTTGAGAAAATGGAATAAAAGCGTAAAAAAGCCCCAAAAAAGGTTTGAAAAAAAAAAAAAGTTATTTGAAATAGTAAAACCATATCATCACCAACGTATCAGTCTTACCTAAAAACCATCCTCTGCTTGCAGTGTTACGAGCTCTCGAGGAGAGGGATCCGCTCTAAAGACAAAACGTACATCTGACATTACGCTGTCACGATGTTCACCAGGGGACATCGGCTTCTCAATCCCCCGAGATGAGGAGAAAGCTACAACGGTAACAACGAACACATATGGAAGACATTGTGGGCAATTACAGTACAGTAGATGAGACAAGCTATGCAATATACACACAGGACAAGCCACAGCCTGCATGTAGGTTCAGAAGAGGACGAGGGTGGAGGAGGTGGGGGACCGGGGGAGAGGGGGGTGGATGGAGGCGGATCACCAACGGGGGAAATGAGGACACAGACACAAAGTTATTTTTCAGCAGTTTACTTCTAGATCAGTTTTTGAGGAGGAGAGCTAATATGTTTTCATCATAATTTGTTTCCACAGTTAAGAGTTTTTATGTGGGGGGGGGCGGGGGTTGTGTACTGATGTGATGGTCCCGGGACAGAGGATTGTAAAGCCCTGTGAGGAAAATTTTTTGATTTGTACAAAGATGATGAGATTCTCTACAACAGGTTTGTACATTAAAACAAACAGACGCTGTTTGTTTACTTCAATTGTGGTCTCGACGTCTAAATATTCATAGAGGTAAATAGGTTCATGTCTGCAAAATGAGCGCTCTCATTTCAGACCCTCGGGCCACACTGATTGAATCTAAATCCATTATGACAAGACAACTGCACACCCCACTATTCAGACACTGTTCTTTATAGGCCCGTGTTACAAAAAAAGCATTATCCCATTTCATGCGCATGGTTTGAATCAGGGTTGGATTGGCTGCTTGGTTGTTATTTTCTAAGGTTTTTTGTGCAGTACATGGACCAGGTTTTGGTCGTGGTCCATGTACTGCACAATGTAACGTTCCCTGTCCAGCCATAGATAAACAGCTCTCAAGAAGACCTAATCGATTGGGTTCTGCACAAACACTGGCTGCTCATTAGGATGCAATGCAGCTCCGTAGCACTGAGCCAATGCAAAACAGCAACACGCCAGAGATGCTGCCAGAGCCGATGTTGCACGTAGTCCTCGAATAACATAAGATGATGAAGTCATTGTGAACCTTTTTCTCAGGTTACCATGAACTGTCAAAGCAGAAAGATACAATACCATTTTAGCATGTCAGTTTGTGTTAGGGTGTCCACGCCGGTCTTGTCCCGGGGGGGGGGGGGTCATTCTTTAGCATTGTTATCTGAGAATGGAACGTTTTTTCCGGAGGAATTTCCTCAGGACCACAATCAAAAATACATGTGATATTCCCAGGTTTAACTGTGATCTGATGAAACGCTAACAGGCAGAACATAAAAGCTGTGCCAAAAGTGTCCTGGTTCGGTGTGACAGTTTCTGTGCGTTCCAAAACACCCACAGCTGTTTTCCCCCATTCCTCCTGTGCTTTTCCCAACAGATCTTTTATGACAGATGTACACCTCACTTGGGGTAGAAATGACAACCAACTCTCCCGCGTGCTCATGGTGCATCTATGAAACGTATCCTGTCTGTAAGAACTGTCAGGTGAAGGGCTGATTTCGCTAGAGCAACGTCGTGCCATTAAACCCACTAACAATCCACCTTAACTGGAAAAACGCTTACTTACAGTCCTTCTGTCTTCGCAACGTTCGCGTGGACGCGTGGTGGTTTGGCTGGAAGCATCTGATCTGTTCTTCTAAACTTCTTTCATTAGCACCAAGCAAGCCCAAGGACGTGTTCGCCCAAATCCACCCACGCACCTCCTTCCTCCCCGTCGCATCCCTCCCATTTTCCCACCGCCGACCAACCCACCGCTTCATCAGCAGGCCTCTGTGTCCTGTATCTACTGATGCATCCAGGGGGACACGGTGTTTCCTGTCTGAACCTATTACAGGAGGGAGGAGGGGAGGGTCCTGAAGGCCCACATGCATCCATAGATACTGCAGCCCTGTGTGGGCCTGTGTGGCCTGGGGCTTGACATGTGGAAGTAATCTCGGCAGAAAGCGATGAAATGAGGCACAGAACTAATCAAAAGACGGAGATCTAATGTCTAATCAAAATACTGTCACTTAGCACGAGCAGTGACTTCTCGGGTGCGGGTGAATGTCTCAGAGTGGAGGCCAACCGTCAGTAATGACCGGGATCGCGTGAGTACCTCCATTATAAATAATGGTCCAAAAACACTGCTCACACAATAACTCTCAGCACTGCAACGGTGCCATCATGGTAACCCATAAAGCATTCAAAAGGCGTTTAATAGAATAAAATGTCTAAATAGCAAAAAGGTTTCTATTTTCTAGCTGCTCTCAGTTAAATCACAATGTAGGAACAGAACTCTCGTGTCAGGCCTCCTCTTCAGAATGACTCTTTGTTGGCAAGAGTGTTCAGCGGAGTCAAATGCTCAAATTGTGAATAATTATACAGGGTTGGATTGTGATAGTCTTTTGCATTTTTCTTTTCTTTTTGTTTCCAGGTTTGTAAAGTTTTAAGCTCTGTATCCGACAATTTGTTATCTTCTCATTCTTTTATATTAGCATAATTGCACAAGGATAGTTCACATAAATAGTGGAGCAGACACGTAATCTATCTGGAATGGTTTATTTTGTTTTTGCCCTTCAAACTAAATGCTAGTTATATAAAACATGTTGTTGAAAGTTAAAAGAAAAGCTACGGTCTGGGAAATGTGTGGTTTTTCTTTTTTGTCCAGGAGATAAATGATCAAGAACGCTGTTATTTTTGTAGTATTAATAGGAAACTGGTTGACTTAAGCTTAGCATGCAGACTAGAAACAGGGGCAAACAGTTGGCTGGTACGATAACGACATCCACCGACCGATGGTGGCTTCAGGGGAGGCGGACTGGTTCTTGGACAATGTCGTCCTGCAGTCTTAAACACATCCAGGAGTTACCAAAATCTCCAGGATGATACTGCACCTGAGCTGAGAAATACCCCATAAAACCAAACCAGATGTTACTTTTATGGCTGCATTAAACAAAACTCTATAACGTGTTGATGGCTTTAGGTAGATTGACTTCGGTACCTTAAGAAGGAGCCACGCTAGATGTTTCCCACAGTTTTCCAGGTTTTAATCTGAAGACATGGACGCTTCGAAAGATAGTTTTGAGTTCTGAATCCAACAAACTCATCGTCATCCACTTTCTCGCAAAATGTAATGCTTTCAATGTGGAGACAAATTTTGTACAATGGCAAAGGCAGATGAATACTATTTAAACCTCCATTTCTCACACACACACACACACACACACACACAGTGTAGTGCACAAAGACACATTCTTAGGAGTCCAATGTCATGTTTCTGTCAGTGTATCTTCAGGTAGCACTCTCTGCATCTTAAACTAGGAATCTTTCTGAGACAAAAGAGAAAGAGACAGCCTGCTTTGCAATCTTCACTCCTCATTCATCTTCCGCACACAATTACCATCGTCTCTCTGACAGCAACTGATCCTCGCACAACATCAATAACAACTTCTTGGCCCAATTCTTATGAATGGGTTTAGTAATTAAAAATGTGGGCAAGCAATATACTACACTCGAATTCTGCAACTGTTATAGCACTTTATTGATTACAGTGGCAGTTTTGAGAGTTTGACATGTGTCAAACTCGCGGCCGGCGTCCAGTGCGGCCCGCCGCCGGATGATATTGCTGTTGTGAGGATTACAGAGAGGTCGCCACGCACGCACTCACGCGCGCTCGCTCGCTTGTGACAGAGGAGAGGCTCGTTGTCTTTTTTTAAATTTTTTTAAATTTTTTTTTTAAAGTTTTGCAAGGTTTTTGTTTCTTAAAAAAAGATCTCAGTAACACTTACACAACAGTACATTTTAAAACAAGACATTTAAGAACGTGTCTTTTTGTGTGTTTGTACCGTAGATCAAGAAGACCTGGACCAGATGGCTAAAAGCCGTAAATCCCCCCGAGCAAACACACGCACACAAACCAAACATCTATGGTGTAACTTAGGCCAGACTGCAAAGCTTTAACACGTTACCACTATTCTTTTATAACAAATACTTTATTCTCTTTATAGTTGACCAACATTCAATCCAATCAAATGTCTTCTCTCCGCAGATGCGTGCCGACAACAACCGCCTGTGGCCTTCACGCACTGGATGTTAATGGCTGTGAGTTCACTCGGCGCAGGCTGGGGAGGTTTGTTAATCCTTCAGGTTTACATCACATTCCGCCTCGGGCCTTCTAAGGGCCACTGCCAGGCGCACTCACTTCATCATGTTCCTCAGCAGAGACAACGCGGCCTTTGGGTGTTTCCCCATCTTGTCTCCGCAATTGCACAAAAGCGATTTGCTAAGCCAAGTCACAGCTGGGTACAACAACAGTCACCTCATGCTCATTGACGGAGTACGGTGGAGCTAAGCGGCGCGAGCACGGCGGATGCTGGGAATGAAAAGGTTCTTGTTCAGCGCTGATTGCAAAGATAATTGTTGGAGCTGAAAGCCAAAGAAGCCCCCCCCCCCCCATGCCTTTCCTTCAGCCTCCTCCACAGTCTTCACTTAAATCGTAAATACGGCACAAATGCGAGGCACCTTCCGCCTTACAGTCCCAAACCCTGATTGGACCCGAAGTACGACGACTCAACCAGAAAACAGCCGGTGCTGAGAAGTTCACACCACATCCTCCTCCATGGGTTTCCTGTGTTTGCAGTAAAGGCAGTAAACTTGATTTACTTCAGTGTGAGAGATTTAATGAGGATCTGCTTCTTGTTTTCTCTTCTCTCGGTTTTTTGCACACTTTCTGGAGGTCATTAAGGAGAAGAAAGAGGATGACACGACCGCTCGGCCTGCAGAAGAGGCGTGAAGGTTCTTGTGAAATGGAAAAAAAGTATGTGTCGGGTATACGTCAAAGAAACCTGACTGACTGGGAGTTTAAATGTAATGATCCTAAACTACAGTCTATGTAAATAAACTCTAACAATTACCTGGTCCATGAAAGCTACATCCCTGGGACATTTGCACAATGATTTCTCACCATGAAAATACATGTAGATGCATGTACATATATTTCTATATTCCTTCTATTGTTCATTTTTGCTTGTATATTTTAATCTTATTTTATTCTACTTTATTCTTATAATTCACTAATCACAAATTCCTGTATGTGTAACATAAATTGCTTCCGATTCGGATTCTGAAACATCCAAGGGCTCATTGGACTGATCTCTGGTGGGGACGAGTCCGCCTACAGGTGGGAGTCTGACCATCTGGTGTCGTGGTGCAGCCAGAACAACCTGGAGCTCAACCTGGAGCTTAACCATCTTGATGGTAGTGGATTTCAGGAAGAACAGAGACCCACCATCCCCCATCAACATGTGCGACTTCCCCGTCACCACTGTGGATTCCTTCCGTTTCCTGGGCTCCATCATCACGCAGGATCTCAAGTGGGAGCTGAACATCAGCTCCATCACAAAGAAGGCTCAGCAGAGGTTGTTCTTCCTGAGGCAGCTGAAGAAATTCAACCTGCCAAAGACGATGATGGTCCACTTCTACACGGCCATCATCGAGTCCATCCTCTGCTCCTCCATCACCATCTGGTACGCTGCAGCCACAGCCAAGGACAAGGGCAGGCTGCAGCGCGTCATCCGTTCTGCAGAGAGGGTGATCGGCTGCAATCTGCCGTCCCTCCATGACTTGTTCGCTTTGAAGACCCTGAAGCGAGCTAGAAAGATCGTGGCCGACCCCTCCCACCCCGGACAAAACCTGTTTGTGCCCCTTCCATCTGGCAGGAGGCTGAGGACCATCAGGACGAAGACCTCCCACCACACCAACAGTTTCTTCCTGTCGCCAGTCGGCCTCATCAACAGAGCCCGGTCCCCCACTGACTGACTCTGACATTCCACCGGTCACTTTCTTTCACACGTCACTTTCACTTTCTGTTCACTTGTGCACTTCATCTTTAATTTTTAAATATATTTAACTTTAACTTTTATTCCTTTATTTTAAACTAACCCATAGCCTTATACTACTAACCCATAGAATTATTTTTTATTTTATTCCTTGTGGACTGTTGCACATGTCGCACTGTCTGCTGTTACGCACCAACCGCCAAGTCAAATTCCTTGTAAGTCTGACATATTATGGCAATAAATGTTTCCTGATTCCTGAATCGAGGAATAAGTTGTTGCTGACCTTTGTAAATCACCAGCCAAAAAAGACAGAGGTTTCCACTATCCATCAAAGATTTTTCATGTATTTTGAACTCTTATTATCGCTCTAAATCACATCTAGACAAGCTGGAATGTATGATGACGACAGAAAAAACCCTGTAAATTACACAATATTACACATTTAGCTAAATTCTAATATCTGTTTATTCAACCAAACCAATACACTAAAATGCAAAGACTTTTTTTTCAATTGGTGTTTGTGAAGGTGTAATAGCGGTGAGGTTTCTGCGGTTGTCATGATTCGAGGGTTGTGGTCACTGAAACATTACGGTCGCTGCGGTAAACTGCGGGTCCAACTTTAGACCTTTTTAACAGGAACCCCTTTGGAATGTCACAGCAGGAAAAAGCACAGTTGTAATTGTTGCCTCTAAAAACAGCTGCATTCCATTTGAGTTCTAATTCCAGCGTCCTGGTCTCGTGCATGCTGGCTGACGAGCAAGACTTAAAAAGAACACTCACGCAATCTTTGACCAAATTTGAGGGGTGTCAAAGTCTCTGACGTAAGAAAGGCCAAGACATTTTTCAAAGAGGGAAAGGCGGCAACCTATTGGATAAAATGAATGACTGCTGTAATCTATTGGGCGGCTTTGGTTTCAGGTTGTTGGTATCGTGCATGTTTGCTCCCTGTCACTTTCACTGCAACACTTGAGCAGAAAAGTGCCTTTGTTAGTAGTAACACCGGTTCTTATGCTACTATGACAAGTCATGATGGGTAAAAATCTGTTGTTAGGCAATAGACCAACTATAACCCGGTTGTATGACGTCCGCATCACGACCACAATGAGCCTCTGAAGACCATGTGTGGTGTGATGCCCTTCGATATGCCCGAAAACGTGAGTGTCATGTAGCTCGGGTCAGCAACAGCCTTTTATTAGACGCATGAAGCCTTCAAAATTCTCAAAAGGGGGGATTTACGAACATATTTTATGTCATAGAACAAACATCTCAAACATCAAACTTGTGTTAACCAAAGAACCAACCTGATTTCATCCGAAGCAATAAGGCACTGACCTTTCCTGGTGGTAGGACTCAGACTGTGTTCCAAAAGGTTTCATTTGAAATGTTTCTGAAATAAGAAAATAGGTTTCAGAAACATGCTAGCCTATAGCATTGTTAAAGCTACAAACTCTTAACAAACTCGGCCCGTCACGAGTGATGTCCGCTCCTTAAAATACATGGTATGACCCCACTTTTTCAAAACATAATTAAAATAGAAAGAAACATTATCACACCAATGAAATATCTAACAAAAATAAATTGATATATGACTTTCTTCTTGTGAGCGTACTCAAATTCTCACGTTTATCTGTTCCTCCCACTCTCCTCTCCCTTTTCCCCACTCCGCTCTCTCAAAATATAAAACAATTTATAACATACATACATACATTCATTTCAGACAGAGCTGGCTGAAAGATATTAGTTTAAATCAAAATACCAATTGATATGCCAAACCAAAGGAAATTAAATTCCCTCAGTGGACAAATAGATTCTTTCCAGCTATCAGTTCATTTTTAGTTGTCAGTTAGCTGACAATGGCGGTAATTTTATTAACTTGACAGAGAACCTTAACGGTCAGTTTGCTCTTCTGAAAGTATTTACTTGCTAAACATCTGTCAACTGTAAAGCAAACACCTGCCATCAGTGGTCCACACGCAGGTTTTCGCGATGGTTGCACGGAACTGGAAATCAAGTTCTAATCTCAAACTGTCCTCCTCTCTCTCGCTTTGTGTACATTTTTCAGCCAGTTAAAATCTTAGAATGGATCTTTCCATCCAAACATCTGGTAGACTCCCAAACCCAACGCAATGTCAGAGAAAGGTCTTTACCGCATCCTAACGCCCGCTTGCCGGCTCCGTCTAATCGTGTCGATCTGTCCGTGTCTTGGCTTTCAATGAACGTGACAACTGCTCGTCTGGCTTTGATGCCGTCATTCAGCCTCTCTAGCCAGAGACGTGTGCAAGAACATCGGGGCTTTTCTGTCACCCATCCTCTAGTGATCAGGTGAGCCAGCCGACGGGTTGAGATTCGGCTCATAGTGCAAGGCACAAACCCCAGAATCAGATAGGCAGACTTCCTGCCGTGTGCTCATATACCAACAAGAGGCCGAGGGCTCATTTTACAAAGTCTTGTGAAACAATAAATCAATCTCTCTCCCTGCGCACATCAAACAAACTTAGATAAACGTGTGTCGACTGATAATGCTTGAATATAAGCGGAGTGGTGGGATGCGGTTTCAACAGATGCAGAAACCTCTGAGGCCTTTTTCCCCTGGACTGACTTCCTGGTACGTTTGGACCGAGGGAAAAGTTATGAACCAATTACGACTTCAGACAAAGCCTCATACTGCATGCCATGTCGGGCATAATTATATACAACCATAACAAAGATAAGAGGAGGTAAATCTAACACAATCTGTCTCAGAGCACTTACCATTCGGTTCAATAAAAAAGCTAATCGGAGTTCCTTTCACCACATGGGAGCTTTCTGGCGTTAACAAACAAGCAGTCGTTCTCCCATGGAAGGCGGCTCGGCCTCGGTCCAAAGCCAGACGACCTCTTAGTCCCCCAACGTTCCTGAAAACAAAAGGCCCATTCTGGTAGGTTAAAGCTCACCAAGTGTGAACAAAAATACTCTGCAAGATGCAGTCATTTCCGTCACTGACCTCTACTGTTAGAACAATACATTTCTTTGAAACAAAGTGAAGTTATCCTTACCCTGATGCATATTTATGCAGACGTTATCAATCTGGAGGTTTCAGTGTGTTGCCATTTGCCAAAAAGCATTGCAAGATGAGGACATGACGGAGACTAAAGACGCGTGGAAAACAGGGAGTAAATACAAAGACTTTTTTGCGCCTTTACCTCGGTGCTAGATATGAAAGTGTGATCTTCACATGATGACGGACTCCTTCTCGGTATCGATGCACCTGCTTCACTCTTCGCGTTGGCCGGTCAGCCGAGGCACAAGGAACTGTGACACAACGCGAACCCCCTTCACGCCTTTGATGGACTCGGCCGGTTGGTTTTAAAGAAGTTAGCCTGCTGACGTCATGGCCTCATGGGTTCACCTTAAGGTCACCGGCGTAATGCCCACAAATTAAGACGGACAAATAAAAAGTCAACTCACCGTCGACGCCAAATTAAGAAGCTTTCAGTTAATGGCCCGAGCTTTCAACTCGAGACCCTTTTTTTGTTGTGTGCTGTTGATCAAAGCAGTGTAGCAGGAAGCGGTTTGTATCCGCTGTGTGGGTGAGGTTGTACCCCTCCTCCCTCCTCCCTCTCTCTCTCTCTCTCTCTCTCTCTCTCTCTCCTCCGGTCCCTCGGCTGGAGGAGCGCCTCCCATCCTGCAGCCTCAGCTGCGCATGCAGAGCTCTCTCCTCACTTTCCAATACTTCTTAGAGAGGTGAGGAGTTCGCTGCTGGTTCCTGTTTAGTTAGTAATGCCCCTGAATGGGTGGATATTGGTGTAAACCTCCTACTGTTTCCCCGGTGACGTTGTCAACAACATTGATTGGATGCGTGGATCTGTGAAAGCTTCGTATAGTTGATGCAGGATTAACGTCACGGATAATCGTGTAATAGCAAAAACGTGCAGTGTAGAAGACCAAATACTCACCAGGAATATCAGTAGCAAGGAGAGCAAAAAAATAACTGCAACATTATTGGTTGCTAATATTTATTTTTGGAAGAAATGCATTTCCAGTAAAATATAAACAAAACCGTAAAGCATTCTTGGATTGATAAATCCGGACACTTTATTATGATAATTCCCATGTGTACAGAATCTTTGGAAGAGGACTGTAATTTTCAGGCCAGCTAATTTCTTCTTTTTATTTAAAGAAGACCTCCTGGTGCTTCCTTCTTTAGCTTCTGTTAAATTATTATGATACTTACTGCAAAATAAACTAATATATCAAGTCAAGTACAATTACCAACTTGTGATTGTACTACATTCATGTCTGTCCATACTCATGATATACATGTTGTCGAGACTTTGAAGGAAGCCGATCTGTTAGTTGCATTACTTGATTAAATGCAAGAAGTCACTACATTGACATGCATGACTGCAGTGAATCATTTCCAGTGGGAAGCCGGCTGTTTTCACTTGAGACCGTGTTTTCCTCACTCACCTGAAAGCGAAGGCAACGGGCTTGCGGTGGACTATCAGAGGAACAGGAGGACTCTTCTGGTTGTCGTCCAGGAAGAGGGAATGAAGACCGATGACTAATGCAAGTACCGTGGGGACCAAATCAATAAAAAGAAACTGGACTGGTCCCAGAAACCACTGAAGCTGTCATCAAGCAGGGACGGAGGACGTGTGTACCAAATGTAATATAACTCCATCAATAGGAAATCCACCTCGACCTCCGACCACCAAAATCTATTCAGTTCATCCTTGAGTCCAGGAGAACCTTTTGTGCCAGTTTTCAAGGAATTCCCTGAACGGATGCCCGAGAAAGCTTTTCCCAAGTAGCTTATCATTGTTTGAGTAAAAGAGACGGCAGGTAAACTTTGGACTATCAACATCAGGCGCTCCTTCTCCATTTTTATGGTGCATGTAACAAAAGCCATGTGGCCAGGCTTCCCCTGGCCTGCTACCGTCAAACGTGCATCGAAATCCCACACATTGAATGAAATACTCTGTACTACTGTTTGGACATTTTAGCTCCAACGCATATAAGACTTATCTTTGCACATCCTGAGGAAAACGATGGGGAAATTTCGGGCGGGTGGGTAGCGGAGGTCAGTATCTGTGCGTGCATGTAGGAGGAGATGCCAGCTGAGCCGCGCGCATCACCGCGGGGGAACGGAGCTGCTGAGAGAAGACAGGGAAATGTACACCGCCTGGTCTCTGTCCATCACTCCGCTCCTTCTCCTTAAACATGCAGCCTGCCAAACAACCTCATCCATCCATCACTCATTTCTGTTTTCACAGAGTTATCTCGGAGGCGGCCGGAGAGAGGGGCCGTCGCCGTGGTAACCACTTCAGCTCCTGGATGGAGCCCAGGCTTGTAAAACCCGAAGAGAGGAGTCGGTTCCCTTTCAAGTACACGATTTAAAGTGAGAGGTCACCGGGGGAGAGACGGATGTCCAGGCCAACGTTTTAACAGCTACATCAAGATTATTTTTAAAAGGATGGACCCACCACTCAACCCACTAACTTTTAGCCCCAGCTAAGAGTATGATTATAAGGGGAATTTAAATAGTACTTTAATACAGCTTCCCAAGGAGAAAGAGGGAAAACAAAAGCCGAGTGGGAGGAGAGGACTATGTGCGAGCGCCAGAGAGGGGAATGGACAAGATGAATAAGCGGGGGGGGCGAGAAGGGGGCGTCAGAGACAGCAACAACAGACTAGAAACAGGAGGAAGCAGCCAAGACCACGAATGTTGTTCCATCAAGTTCATTTTGTCGCCTGGTTCCTTTCCACGAGTCCAAAATACACCATTACATCACAGCGAGCATGGGAAAGTTCCCCAAACCAACACACAGCCCGAGATTGTCTCGCTTATCTCCTTCATTGTTTGCTGCAGATTCACCATTAGCCGAGGATCAAATCACATCGGGGCTGGAGGGGAGTCGGTAACCGCCGTGCCACCTTGTTCATAAATGGTAAATACAGGAAATCAAACTATTATTTGACCCTCTCTTCGATTGTCTAGGTGTAGCAGATGAAAGCTAAAGTCATGCCTTGGACATCTTTGAGGCCACTTTGATGCCGGGGGGGGTTGAAATGTGGAGAAAACTAAAATAAAAACACTTTTTTTTTATGGCAACCACAAAATGTTTTATTCACACGAACGAGAGACGAAACTAGAGTAAACAACTTCAAGGTCTCCTTGGTTTTTCTACGAGCAACTTTGCCCCGTCTACCGCTGGCACCAGCTCTTCTATTACATGGTCTTCTACCTCCAAAATGAAAGCTCTCCGAATACTTCAGCATGTTGCAATTATATAAAACAAAACAAACAAACAAAGCTGTGGGGCTGAAGTAATATGAAAACAAGGAGAGCAAAGCAAAAGGCGGGCCAGCCTCACAGCCGGGGGAGATGCGGTACGGACCGAATCAAGGAGTGCTACGGGAAACTAAATCAATCGCGACCAAGAGGGGCTATGCTCAGCGACGTCTACTGTCCACTGCAGTCCACCGTGACGAGACACGGGGAGAAGAGGTTGGCAATGAACTGCGGAGATTGCAGGGGAGAGAGAGAGAGAAAAGAAAAAGTCCTTCTTCCCTGCGTTTCATCAGTAACCTTCGGCATTTATCACAAACGCTTTCCGACTCATGTGCATTTGCCGACCTCCGAGACTCGCCGGGGGCGACGCTGTGGAGCAGAATTCCAGCCTGTGTTGGACCAGAGGGGGGCTCTCAGGTGGCCACAGAGGTAACAATCTGGAGCACCTCGCCGTTCTCTCCCTGGATGGCCCCTTGGATGGCCTCTTTCACCTCCATGTCCGCCTGCAGCGCCGGGGTCAGCTCCGCAGCCTGCAACACATCAGAGACAGCAGAGGGGAGGAGGTGATAATTCTGAAGACCCGTGGAGATTCGATGCTGCGTTCTGCTACAGCGAATTGGGAGTAATTAGGAAAAGACTGAGACAAGTGTTTCCTGTGCACAGATGGGGAGGAAGCAGCCTTTAGGACACAAACCAACGGAGAAAAGAGAAAGCAAAGAGAAGAGAAGAGAGATTTTGGGGGAGATGAAGAAAGACATTTGGGCAAAGGGCCGAGGAAAGAGGTGGGGCGACAGGTGAAGAGGGACTTGGCCAGCGATGAGCTATTTCTATTTAACGCTCTGGGGCTGTCTCATGTGGTCGGTGTCAGACAGAGGGATGTATTGTGTTAAACCTCAAAAGACGAGAGGTGCATGACTCATGAGTCCTGGATGATGACCGTGAAGAATGACTCACTCCTTCCTCAAATGCACGCCAGAGGTTTCCTCAAAAAACACACCTGCAGCGTTGAGTCCTCCCTCCCGGCAGGCCCTCACTAGACAACAACGGAACGGAGCACATCTGCACCGCAACAACACATGAGGCTGACGCACCGTGACCACTGGCGGCGACGCGGCCATGGAAAACTCGTATGCATCAACGTGTACTTGTACAACGTGTAATAAACTTGAAACACTGGACGTGTTGAACCGTCGGGCCGTGTTCCCCATTTTGGAAATTTGAAATGCCCTTTCCGATGGCCAGACTATCTCCGTGCGTAGCCCCCTTGCTCCATCTAGTTTGTGAAATGGAAACTATTTAACAAAAAGAGGAAAAATGAAGAGATAAATAATTACAGCCCAAGTAATTTTTCTTGAACTTGTGTAACTGCTACCACATGTCTGGAGACAGATGAAAGCAATTCACGGGATTCAACACTTTTCAGAAGAGGGCGGGCCGGGAGGGAGGGGGAACAGGGCTGACCTTCCTCTAAACTTTGAACTGCCAGCGACGTTTACACTTGGGGACATGGGAACCCAACTGTGATAATAACCCCCCCTCGCCCCTCCTGTACCGGACAGCTATCCGCTAAGTCCGGCCCCTTACTTTCACTGTTCTGTTTTAAATTTTGATGATTGATTATCAGTTATTGGTGGGATCGATCTTGTTTAGGTTTACTCTGTAAAGTCCTTTAAGGCATATAAAACATTTTCTTTATGGAAAATTGAAAGAAAAGTTTCCTTAAACCCTCTGGATGCATTCAACGCTGCTCATTATTTTGGCAGTGAGGTTGAATGAAAATCTGCTTTTGACGAGTTGATTCATCATTTGAGCAATAAACACCACATTGTTAGCAAGTTCTTTCATTATGTCCTCGACCCCGTCTTCGCGCCCGTCCCAAACGCTGATGAGTGAACAGACTTCTTCCGTCTTTGTTGATTTCTGTCAAGGTCTGAGTACAGTCAGACATTGGGCAGAACAAATCCATGCTCATGAATCAGTTGAGTAAACAAACAGTCGGATTGCTTTGAGAAACGTGGAGAGCAGGCCTCGGAATATAAGGCGGCAATTGTTTTCAACTCTAGAGTTCATCAGTTTGTGTGTGATCCACACCCAATACGATGGATGGATGCAGGAGGCTTTAAATACCTCTCACAGGTTGAACCAGTTACCTCCACGACTGGAGACAAATCACAGAGAGAGCCCGGTTCGAACGATCCCGAAACCTGGTGGATCACAGTCTACAGGGAGATCCGTACCAGGCTGCAGGACGGCAGGTATTTCACACACCAAAAACCATTTCAGCTGATTTCTGTTTGTATGATACTAACACAACAAAGACAGGATGGAGAAGATGTGATATTAAATCTATTTGGGGGGAGAACAGAGAAGCAGAGAGGACAATGGAAAGCGGCTCTTTTACATTCCTGGCCGTTAGGCTGACTACTTAAAGACCAGGATGCCGCGTGGGGCGCGCGCCTTCCCACCTCCACAACAGGCTCCATCGCAAAGGGATTTAAGGAAGATCTAACAATGACTCCTCTTCTCCTTTTAACGCTTTTTTTTGTTAAATTACTGTTTTTCCAGTAATGACTTTAAGTTGAGTCTATTTTATTTGAGCATAATTATGACAAAAGGAGGCCTATAATACCTGCAGGTAGTTTAGCTAAATTGCACGCATAATTCCATTATAACACTGTAGTAAATTATGAATGAAATATTACAGGCTTTATTCTCCCCATTATGAAGCGGATCAAACCATCACAGAACAAAACAAGGCAGGCGTCAGCCCAAACAAACAGAAAGCTTTGCTGCCTGAAAAAAAAAAAGAAGAAAGAAAGATTGCAGACGAGATGTTTAAAGATTCCTGAAAATCAAAAAATATGTTTTGATGTTTTAGAGTGTATTTTTCACTTAATTCCCTGTCATGATTTATGAAGCTGTGACAATTCTTTAACAATTGATCGCAGATATATTCATGACGTACTCTGCAGCAAAGCAGGAAATGCCATTTTGACACCAGCACAATGATCAACTGCGTCGGCATCCAAGTGTTGTCAACTGTCTCACTGTTTCCAACGCGGCGTGAACACGATGTTCTTCTAGTTGAGTCATTGGTACAAACAATTAAAAACACAGTTAAAAGAAATCGAAGGCACAAGACTGTGTGTGACTCCAAATTCTGCAGTGAGAGAAAGGTTATTGTTCCTTCCCAACGGTCAGTTTCTTACGCCACTATTGAGTGGCTATAGACTGCGCTTTGCAGGATAGGTTCTGTAAGCTTGATCAAATCCCTTTTGGAGTTAGTTTAATTATTTATGACTTGAGGTGGTGTTGTGTTTTTATGGAAAGGCAAACGTGCACATTTGGGACCGTCTTCACCAAAACCAGCTGATGTGGCTCGTAACACAGTGTAGTTACTTCCATCTGACATTCCAGACTAACAAAAGTAGTAACTAGTAAGGTACATATCTGAACCATTTACAACTAATGCGTTAAACTGAACCTCGTAGCATCGTGAAATTATCCAGAAGGCTCACAAAGTAAAAGGTTTTTAAAAAGTTCACTTTTAAATCTAGATTTTTATTTCAGAAAGACACTCCCATAACTTCTTGGCAGGTTTTCCGGCTGATTTTAAACATAAATGGCATCTTCGTGCAGACCGAATATGAATAAGAACATTTTCCTTAATAGGAACACTAGACTCCAGACTCCACCTTTCAGTCCGTGACTTCTACACACCAGAGCACAAAAACCCCCGGCGTGCTGGGACGTGGACTTTCTGGCCGAGCACCCGAGAGCACAGATGAACAGCAGCAGCAAAGGAATGATCGACACTATTTATTTCTCAATGAGGGGCGGATGGGGAACAGTTCATCATTGTGGACTTCTTAAAACACAAGCCCATGCAGTGAGACTGATTTACATCAGTGCCAGGGTCTGTTTCAGCTCAGACAATAGACGCATAGACACATATTCCAGCACTTGGAGCGCGCCCCCCCCCCCCGGTTACAACCTGCAGCTAGCGAGAAATAGCTTTTTTGTGTACGTGTGTGAGTTTGTTTCTTTACCTGTACGGCAGCTGTGTGATCTGCAACTGGGGCCAGTTGGACATACTGCACTTGGATGTCAGACGGGAGGGGGGAGCCCTCCACGGCCGTGGCCCCTCCATCGGCGGATGCCACCGCTATGAGCTGAGCGCCGCGGAGCACCTAGGAGAGATAAGAGGAAACAACCGCGGCAGACGTTTTCACTCCGTTCTCGAAACGACCATCATTTAATCAACCTCGCTCTCGTTGCTCGTGCTGTACGAGGAGTTCAAAAACCAAAAATCTGCAATAGTCTACCGCACACATCACTGGAAACTACAAAATGAAAACAAACAGCAGGAAGACTAATTTAAGTCCCATCTGATGTGTTTATGTTCTTTTATTGATTACAGCCGTCATGGTTTACAATCACAGTGCCTCAGAAACAAGTAACTTTGTGGTAAGGAAAGAGGCATCAGCGTGGCGTAAATAAACATTCCGGTCCTGCCGTTCGCACTGCTTCCCATCCCGACCTCCGTGTATACGTTGAGCTGGAGAGGAACTTTATGGCCCCATTCAAATCAATTGTATTTTTTAAGAGTTCTGTTTTTCCTAGGCTCCATAACATGATATACATGATATTTTCATTCAATTAAAGTCATTGAGGAATGGAGGGAGAGCCTTCGCGGGGGAACCCGACGCTTCTGACGCACTGATTACAGAGAAATGCAAACACAGTACTCTTCTATAGTCTGTTCCTATAGATGGACTGCCACCGCAAACACAGCAGGAAAACAGAGAAATCTTTCTTATAAAACTCTCATTTAGAATTAATTTAGGAATTTATTAGGAATTATGAAGTGATCTTTGATATTCCTCAAATGACATACATACATAACATTTTCCTCCCTATATACTAAAAACATACACAATGTTGATAAATCAAGATTTCCGTAGTAGTTCCAACTGTAGTAATCCATCCTTTTTTGATAAATAAATTAAATGAATTAATGATATAAGTTGTTGATATGATAAGAGGTTTGGACCCGTCCTCTCATTGAATGAGAAGCTCAACCCGCAGACTCTCATTGTCATCTAAGAGACAGCCGGTTTCACCATAAAAAATCTGCTGCCTCTTAGCCAGAATGTGCCAGAACGTGCCAGGCCCGGGCGTCCCGATGGAAGCTATTAGTGTGTTAGAAGTCTGACTGACTCAACTCCTGAAAAAACCAGGACGAGTCCAGCACAGACATGGATCGAGGCGGAGTGAGCGAGACTCTTAAAATAGCAGTAGACTGTTTGGTTCAAAGGAATCAGTGTCTGAGGAGCTATTAAAACATTCCTGATCAATTAGAGCATTAGCCTGCAGGGTTAGTTCAAACACTAATCAGATAGTGAAAGACTACCAATCAATATACTTTTGCTTCTTCCAGAGCGTTAGAAGAGAAGATCGATAGCACTCGTGTGCATGTGCACTGGTTCCAGAGCTGGAGCCAGCAGTCAGCTAGCACGAAGCCGCGAAGCAGACGGAAACCGCTACCGTGGCTCGTTCCAAGCTACGCTGCACCTATTTCCCAAAATGTTACTCTATTTTTCATACTTCAAGAAAAGATCATCCCAAAATCCATTACATTTTTTTTTTTTTTTTTAAATAAGCTCCATCAGTCACCTCATTGAGGACAGCGAGAACGCAAATGTGTTGCCAGCGTTTCGTCATGGTAGACGTCCATCCTCGTCCGCGGCACTTCATCACGCTGCTCTCTCAGCGGGGATCAGCCTGCCTGGCGCGCGCATGTGAACGCACAGGCGGAAGAAACACAAGCACCATGAGGTGTCTGTACCGCGAGTGTCCACTGCAGCGCAGCTGACAAGATTGGACGTTTGATACTTGAGATCCTAAAAACACTTGTCTGGCTCAATTGGATTCTCAACCTCCATTTGCGAGCGTTTTTTTGCATTCTCAGCTGTGGGGAGCAGCGCACGGAGGCTCAGGCGAGCATTTAAAGAGTTGGAACCGTGTGTGAGATCTTCGCGGCGATTACACAGGAACTTCTCGGGTCCGCATCCTGTCCCACGACTGGTCGGGTCAGAGAAACTCCTCGCCTCTGTTTGGGTGGATAACTGTCATGCTTGATGTTTAAGTATGACTCAGCCGAAAACGATTTAAGGCTAAATCTGGCCTCAAGAAACATCCAACAACTTCATGGAAGACGGCAGGAAAGTTTACTCGGGGATACATGTCAGTCTTTCTAGTAGAATATACTTACCTCTATAGATATGAAGTCTTGATTTGTTATCAATAGTTGCCACATGGTTGGTTCATACACAACACTATTGAGCACCATTACAGGACTGTAAGATTGAGCAAACACTGCATAATCAACACAATAAGTGGTTTGGCAATGATGCAAAGAAACAATAGAAATCTAAAAAGGACCTGAAGGAAATGTTTTATGAGGGACAAAGTCAATCTGCTCGAACAGAAAATCAAGATTGCTGGTAGAAACTAATGAATTGCACGATGAGAGCAATGTTTATGGGGGCTGTCTCGGAGCGGACATGTCCCCTGACACCGGGGGAAAACTTTACAATCTTGCCTTGATTGCCTAAAAACTGGTATGAGTCACTTCGACTGAAGACCAATATATTTTATTTGACATGGTGGGCTTAATTAGTCAGAAACGGGGGCCAACAGCAGATCTTAAGTGGATTAGATATTGTTGATCGCCCAGTTTTAGGGACTGGGACACGGAGATAATCAGCGCCGGCTGGCTGGCCGGCCCAAGAGAGGCGATGATACCACAGCGCAGTCCCGGAGAGAAGAGTGCTGAACAATCAAGAGCATCTTAAATCCTCTGCAGGCTCGCTATCGGCCGTGGCCCTGAGAACGCGGTGGTAGGGAAAAACAAAAAGGAATCTTTTGCAGATGCTGTAATGCTTTCAGTAATGGATCCAGGACACCGAGGAGACACAGCAACATTAGAGCAAAGACACAAACGTGAACAACAGGGCCTCATTTAAAAAAATAAAAATAAAGTTTCAGAGGCTTGAAGACGACGACCAACTGGATAAACTAGGCATCGTTGCTCTTCCCGTCCTTTACTTTCATGTAAAACTAGTAAAACAAGATAAATAAGCTTTTGAGAAAGTACGGGTTGTGTGAAGATGCAGTGGTTGGTAAGAGTATTTCATCAGTAGGAAAATACATTCCCAGTAATGCAGATACTGGATCAATTCCCAGTCTCATGGGAGGCACTCCAGCTGAACCCAGCTGGGAATCAGACTCGATAATACGAGTGAACTGCTTTGTGTGCGTATGTATCAGTAGCCTTTAAAGGATTTAGTATCGACATACACTGGAATCCCCCAATAATAAGATCCTTCTTGCGAAAGAGTCAAAAGTCCATACACTAATGTCTGGTTTACTGCGCTCTCGAGAAAAAGAGACCCGCAAATATGGTTCCTATCATCCTCCTCGGGGGTGTTGCTCCTCTTTGGTCAGATGGGAAAAAAACAGGGAAATGAAAAAAGAAACATTTAGACTTTGGCTGGAACTTTCTTTAAGCTTCACATCCGGCAACAACATCTGCAACTGCCAAGATCACAGAGTAACATTAGCTCTGGGTGAGTGGGGTAGTGGGTGGAGGAGTGGGGGGTGCTAAGGCCTGGCTGCGACTATGCTGTAAAGATGCCCACAGACGCAACGGCGTGCTGAGCGATTGCTTCGTGAAGACTGGGAAACTGAGCACACCGGATTATGCACGTCTCAATGAGAGCATGAACTCACTTACCTCAGATCCTGAAAACACTAGTCGGATTTCAGTCGGCCCTCGGCTCATATTATGATCGAATGGACATAAGTGGGCTGGTGCAACAAATAAAAAAAGAATATGTCAGTAGCTGAAACACAAGCCAAAAGGTATCACGCTTTCTTTACTTGTGATTTGGGAATTCTCTCACTTATTTGCAGGTCCAGGCTATGACAACTGATGCTAGCCTGCATTACTGATGAATCCATCTGCTGTCAACGCACGCTGTTCTCTGAAATACACCCACGATATAAAAATGTATGTCTTGCGATCCCTGACCTGGTAACCTGGCCCACTCCTTCCAATCTGCACGCACGCACGCACGCACGCACGCACACGCACACACGCACACACACACACACACACACACACACGGTCGGCACCTGCATCTAATCAGTCCCTCCCTTGCATCCCCTTCACTCGGCAACTCCCGCCGGAAAACTGGGAGTCGGATTCAGACAGGACACGGAGAGGTTTACGACAAAACAGGCGTGACTTCATTTTTGATCCAGAAACAGCAAATCAAAAGGGGACTGATTACAAAAAAAAAAACTGCCGTTATATATAGTCAATGCCATCGATCCATTGAGGGTTTTTCTCTGTTCTTATGCATGCTCTTATGCAAGAAGGCATTTTGTACAATCTCTGTAAATGTCATGATTTCATGACTTTGTGTTTCCAATTATTGTGTTTAATTTGACGGTGCCAGAGAAACTTATATACACAGCTTGTAAAACTCAAACTGACAAAATATCACACTGCACAAAATACCCATCTGAGCAGGTAATTGAAACAAAAACTATACATGCACAATGCCAGAGACCAGAACATCCTACTGACCCAACGGAGGTGAAACATACGATTCCATTTACGGTTTTGGCACGTTCATTTAAATATTTAAAACAAACGACGATGCTTTTGGAAATTAAATTTTAAGACTAGACATGTCCGGGGGAGTCAAGACTGACCCTTATGCAGTTTCCTGAAGAGGACTCAGTGGATTCAGTACTCACGTTTAATACACAACAGAAATGAACCCAACTAAAACTAACTAATGCGTCATCACACATCAGCAGATAGCACACTGGAGTTTTTTAAATGACTGACATACCACTTCAGATGAAATTCCTTTCACTGCTTCCTGTGCACTTGCCAGCAGCGGTGAAAGGGAAAACAAAAACACACTCTTCAAAGAGGAGTCGCTGTGAAGAAACCATCCATCTCCCCCATCTGGCTTGGGCTTCCTCTGGAATAATGCTCAACAGTCATGGTAACGTTCCAAGAATGTGTTGCAACACCTTTGATTGCAGTGTATGTAAAATGTTATTTTCTATCACTACAATAAAAAAAATTTAATTTAACATTTTATTTTAC